CCCCCCCCCAGACTTATGTGGTTCATCTAATAATCGGTAATGAAAAATTTGCTGATGTGGCAGTAAGACATTCATACAGATAGTTAGCTGTTTTTCTGAGTTTATTTCTATTTTCTGATGTCCAATTTCTCATCCTAACTACAGAATAGAAAAAATGCTTAACAGGAACTAGTTAGGAAGACATACTAGCTCACCTAAACTACATTGGCTACATCAACTTTAAAACAGAAGAATATGACCAGAGCTAGCAGCTGGAGTGGACTCAGAACTAAATCTGCTTTAACCAACCAGGAAACCTAATCACCCATAATCAGTGATATGGAATTACCACAAATAATTTCAGTGAAGAGCTAACTGCATTTATACATGAATCACCTACAGTATTCCAATATTCCAAACTTCACATGAAGCGAATTTCAGGCATCTGCTATTAAACACAGAAAGACCCATATCCTTTTCAAAACCTACATGACCGTAAAATACAGGCCTCCTTACTAGAAGTATGAGTATAAAAACTGAGAAACAATAAGGAAAAGTTTCAGGGAGGAAAAGACTACTTGTATTCGATGCAAACGATGGTCTCCATAGTACTACTATGAAATGGTACAGTTGCAAAACTAACACATATTGGACTTTTTTAAAATCTGAATTTTAACAAGTTAAACTTGAGTTGAACTAGCACTGTGGTCATATATCTTCTCTGTCACCAAATGTAACATTATGGTAAAATTTTTAAATGAGAAAGGCAAGAAAGAAGCCTGAAGATGAAATCTAAAAGTGAATTTCTGTATGAAAGGTGAATTTCCCAGTAATTTCCAAGGAAGCCAGAGATGAGACTCTATGAGTAGTGCAAACTAGTCTGTTGCAAACCATCTCTATAAACATATGATCCATATCAGGCATTCCAACAAGCAAACAAATTCCATAAAGAAATGAAAGTTGTTTTGTTGAAGAATATACCACTGAGTACACAAGATCTTATATCCATGAGCTCTATTTATAATTTTCTATACCAACAAACTCCTTTCCTATTTACCTAAATCAAATGACTTTTATTCCATACCAATCAAATGTGACTGTTTTGGATTCACAACTTACCCCTAAGGAATATGCCTTATGTTTGGAATCTTATTTTTACTGTAGTAAAGCAGTGCAAGGAAAACATTACCATATATATGACAAGAAACAAGAAGATTCACAATCATAAGGATAGCACACACTCATTGTTCAGGAATGTGACTGGTTGTCCCACCTAATGGGAGAGTGTCAAGTGCCCAGGGAAGTGAACACGTAACACAGGTACATAGGAAATGAAGAGGCAGCTAGTCTCCTGTTCCCACCCCCACAAAACTCCAGGATTTCATGACAGGATGAATGCCTGAACTACCAATCTTTCTTTCTTTCTTCCCTCTCTTTTTAAAAAGATTTTTCAGGACAAGGATTCCATAAACTCTTTATTCAGCTTATTCCAATGCCTGGCCCAGCTGGATATACTACTAACTTTTAAAAAAATTACCTATATAAGCCTGGATACAAATCAGTATTATTAAAGGAGGCTCAAATTGAAAAATTAAAATAACACAAAGGAAAATGGTTCTTGTTTTTAAATATTTTAATAGAAACACATCTGGTCAGATTTCAAAAACTGGGCTTAAGAGTGTTTAAACAGTGTGCCAGTATATTTGAGAAGCTGAATGAAAAAATAAAATAAAACAAAAGAAATATCCATCTTTCAAAAATAAACAATAAAAAAACTTTATTCTAAAATGATTTCAATTTATTGAGCAAGCCACATGGTAAAGAAAAATCACTTCGAATTGTTTTTCACCTCCACAGCAGTTTGAAGTTGATGGGCTCTCCCAGAGAGCATGGAAATCTTAAGTAACTCTCCATCAGCCCTCAATTTCTCTATTTCAAATTAATCTGCTAACCTGTTGTCAGTAAACATCCATAAATTCTGCCTCAGCTGAGAAATATTTAACTTTTTCTTCCAGGGACAGTGTGTGTGTGTTTGAAGGGGAGGGGTAACCCCTTTTGGCCCTTGACCAAACAGTGTTGACGGTTTTCTAAGTAAATGCTGCTTCCTATCCACCAAGCTTATTATTATTACTATTACTTTTGTCTTCTATGTTGCCCTTTCTCCATCTGTTCTGTACTTAATGCCGGGAACCCCAAATCCGGCCTCGTCCCTTCACCCTTGTCAATCCCATATGGTTTCCCCCAATTACCGCGCGGGGTGACACCCGAGGGCCAAGCGCGAACCCCCGGGGCCGGTGCTAACTAGGCGCGAACAGGGCGGACGGCTGTCACTGGGGAGCAGGCGTGGGCCAAAGCCGAGGTGATTTCTGACGGCTCATCGCCCGGCCCCGCGTGGCTGCAGATCTCCGAGCCCCTTGGTCCGCCCCGGCAAGCTAGGCGTGCAGCTGTCGCGAAGCAGGAAGCTAATCGCGGCCTCTGGGCCGCTCTGACAGGCCGAGTAGGAAAAGAAAGGGGTTCATTGCGGCTAGGAGCCTCGCCCCTTCGGCTAAGAGACCTCGAGAGCGAAACCCCCGCCCCGGCCTGAAGGCAAGCGAGAGACCGCGGAGCCTCCGCCACCAACACAGCCCAGCCCAGCAGGGGCCCGCCCAGGGGCCACTCCCCAAGGGAGGCAGCCAGTCACTCGTCCGCCCATCCGGGCCCGCTCGGGAGGGGACGGTCTCCCGCCCGTCCTCACACACAGCTCCTCAGGCCAGGCCCCCAGGGCTTCGTCCACCTCTCACCTTTGACGACGCGGTCAGCCCCGGGAGGGGGC